AGAAAAGCCGCACACCCCGAGATCAACAGGCAGCAGCTACAGAGTCCTGATATTCCTCCACGCCCTTATCCAGGCCTCCTGCTGCCACCTGTCTTTCTCAAGACCCCGAATCTTCCCGACCTCACCCAGAATGTCCTGCACCACCACCAGGGAGGATTTTACTCCATAAGGATACCTGACACCGTGCACTCCATGTGAAATAACGGACTATGAGACTAACTAGAAAAAGTGTTTCCAAATCATAATCCCGGCGAGTCTGGAATGGAATGCCCCATACACTCACTCTGCATAACTCATATGGGGGAGGAAGGGTAGTGGGGTCGATTGCAAACACATATAGCAGAGGACTCAAAGGACACCCCTGACGCACACCCGAGCCGAGCACAAAGGGCCCCCTGACCCAACCATTAACCAGAGGAAAGCTTTCTGCCCCTTTGTACAAAATCTTGAGCCAATCAAAGAACCCCCCATCCAGGCAATATTTGCCAAGAAGGAGCCATAGGTACTCATGATTAACCCGATCAAAGGCCTTAGCCTGATCCAATGTCAGCAGAAATTTACCCCAACCAGCAGCCCTACAATGCTCCAAGGCCTCCCAGACAGCTACCACAGCTGAGAAAGTGCTTCTACCCTGGACGGAGCAGTGCTGGTGGCGGGATAACAAACCGCTTGCCACTGGTAATAATCGCCAGAACAAAATCTTTGGTAGGGAGCCAGGATCGTCTTAAAACATTTATAAAACTCGGCTGTCAAACCATCTGGCCCTGGCGTTTTCTTGATGACTAATTTATCAAGAGCCTGGATCACCTCATCTGCAGTGATGTCATCTGTCAAATTCATCACAGGAACATTACTTTCCAGACCTGGTGTAGAGCCCAAAAAACATCCTTGCCCGATCAAGGTTCCTTCCTCCCAGGAGACCGGCATAGTATGACCTGACAACCTTCAGGATCCCTGACCTAGACTTCGTCAGAGAGCCCGTACTGTCCTTCAGGCTATTGACCGTCTTAACTGCTACGCTCTGTTTGCAGTTCTGGTAAGGGTCGGGCGAATGGTATTTCCCGTAATCCCTCTCCTGAACCAAAGAGGCGTGCCGGTCATATTGATGTCTCCTAAGGAGGAGTTTCACCTCAGAGATCGCCCCAGAATCTCCTCCATTCGAGATAAGGCGGTCAAGTTTCCTCCCCAAACGCTGGTAGGTGATATACTTATCTTGCTGCTTCTTTCTTCCTATGGCCTTGAAAAGCCCGACAGTCCGCTGTTTTATAAGCTCTCACCATTCTGACTTAGTGCTACAGAAGTCTACCTGTGCCTGAAAAAATTCCTCAAAGGACCGTCTTACTCTCTCGTCATCCAGGAGGGAGGAATTCTATCTCCAGATACCCCTCCCCTTAGGTGGCATGTCTGAGGCATTCAGAGTCACAGATAGAATACAGTGATCGGAAAACTCCACCGCCCAACACAGGTGCCGAAAAAGCAGAGTCTCCCTTGAAAAAAAACCTATCTATCCTACTCTGACTACTACCCCGCTGAAAAGTGATCAGATGTATATCGGCCAAACTACTCAGCATCAAACTCGCTGAGCAAAAATAAGGCCATATGACGAGCGCTCACTGATCTTAAGCTGGCAACATTAATAGTTGCCATTTTTAACGGAGTGGGAACTGCCATTAGGGTAATTGAGGCAGCCGTTTCTTAGCCTGACTACTCTCTCTCCCTGGAGAACCAGTGCGCTTCAGTGCACCCTGAGATTCGTCCTCCATAGAGGATGCTGTACTCAACGAGTCCCATTCATTGTCATCATCTGACAGGACCCCAAACCTATTTGCCAAAGGCAACACCTCAGGACATGAGGCAATAGAATCCTTTTTTTTCCTCCTTTTTGCCCTTCCTCCTTTTCTCCTTCAACCACTCCATATCCTCCTTGGACAAACCACAATCAACAGCTTACCCACCCTTACCCTCCCCTACACCCCCTTCAACCCCACTCTCCCTTTCCTTATCTACCACCAGTCCAGCCTCTTCACCACTCCTCTGTACCCCACAGTCCTTAATAGAAGCCCTGCAGCGCCGAGGGAGGGGGACTGGCACTGTACTTGATGCACTTGCCTCAGCATCTCTTGCTGCCTCTGCAATTTTGGAAGACATAGACACAGAAGGATTGGACACATTCTCGATAACTGATACCTTGGATACAGACTTGGAAGACACTAACACACTATGCAAACGTCCCGACTGGGGTACCACTGACTGGGAAGACACAGGCACAGTAGGCAAACGCACAGACTGGGGCACCACAGACTGGGAAGACACTGACACACTGGGTATTGGCCCAGATTCAGAGGGACTCACAGGCACCCTAGCTGCTGATCTCCGAGCATCCTCCATGTCCAGGCGGAAGAACTCTCTCATGAGCTCAGGCTGGTTGTGCATTGCCTCAGGACACTGACCATAGGGATGGCCCATCGCATTGCACAGGTTGCACCTTATGATGCTACAATCATTTGCCAAATGTCCTAAACCCTGACACAGATAGCACTTCATCACCGGACAGGAGGATGCAAAGTGCCCTTTATCCCCACACTTATTACACAACTTTGGCTGGCCCGGATAGAAGATGGTCAGCCTGTCCCTCCCCAGGAACGCTGAGGATGGCAGATGCTGGATGTCATTATCAATGACTTTCAATTTTAGCTGCACAGTCCATATTCCCAGATCATCCACAATCTTCTTAAGGGAGCTCAGGATGTCTCCATATCTCCTCAACCATACAGATAAATCCCCTTGTGGTATGGACTCATTGCGGACAAGAATTGTCACCATTTTAATGAGCGGCTGGCGTGATGCAAGCTTGGGGATGAGCCCTTTCCAGTCCGGCAGGCCCCTACACACATGCTCATACTTCTCCCAAAATACGTCCAAAGACTCTGCACGGATAAAGGACAAATCATACTCATAGGAACCAGCCGGACTGATCAGGGCAAAGATATCTGCGGGCCTAAACCTCATCTGCAGAATCTTATCCACCACTGCCCTCCTATGTGGAGGAATACCCCCACCCTCCCATTGAAGCTGCACAACATTCCTCCTTCTAAATAGTGAGGAAGACAAAACATTTCCGGGATCCTTCCCTGGTCCTGTAGCAGCACCAGCATACGTTTTCCTCACAGACCCACCACCAGCAATTTCAGAATTATCCTTAGACACAACAAACCTGCTGACAAGGAGTCTGAATCAACCATAGGAGTCATTGGAGCAACAGAGGCTAGACCCACCCCCTCCCCCTGCTCTGACCAATCAGTTTCTGTCCTGGATTCAAACACAGCCCTGCCTACTGCAGAATCCCAGACAGTTAAGGCACCACCGATCCCAGCACCTCCTCCATCATTCTCAGGGAGAGCTGCTGTGTCTGCTCCAGGCAAAGTCTCTGCAGTGTCCATGGCGCTCCTCTCTGCAGACTCTTCCCCCAGAAGCTCACAGCTAGCTACAGATTTCCCACCAATTGTAGCAGGTGAATCAGACTGCACATGATTGTCCGTAGAACTACAGCCCCCAGCAAGCCCATTGTCATTGTTAAAGTTCAAATCACCACCTTGCACACACACTGCTTGCTGTGCTGTTACCTCTGCATGGCCGACGGTGGGATCAGACTTCCTCCTGGTTGTTGCAGACTTTTGGGTAAATCTTGCTCTCTCCTCAGGTCTCTCTTTCACCGGGCGAGGAACGGTATCCATACCCTCGTCGTCATCTGAGGAATCCGCAGAGAAACAAAACTTCCTTCCAGCCAGAGGGGATTCCAGCTCAGCGATGAACTCCAGCATGCCAGTACCTCCCTCAATCTCCTGCTTAGATGCTCCATATTGCTGCTGCGGAGGGAGGGGGACAGAGGCCTCCACCATTGGGGGCTCAGCAGATTCCCTGCTGACTCTGTCGATACCGCCATCTCCTCACTGACTGCGTCACTCTCAATGCTGGAAGCGGCTCCTCTCCTCCTTCTGCTGAAAAGCTCCTCATTTTTATATTTCTCTTTAAACGCTCCACTGCTCTCCTTCAGAGCACTCACCAATTCCTTCTGCTTCCTCAAAGCTTGCTCCACGTCCTTCAACTCAGGTCTTTGAGCCGGTCTCTTTTTGTTGAACACTTTGGCATAAATCAGCTTTTTCTTCCTAAATTCAGCTTTCAAAGCTGCCAATTTCTCCTCCTCTTTATCGATTTATAGGTCTGATAGGAAAGTTAGGAGGGACTCCATTAAAAAGTCATACCAAGCCCTAGAGGTCTGGTAGGAATTTTTATGGAGGAACCCCACCCCCAAAAATGGGGGGAAAAAAGACGTGCCCCCCTAAAATTCCCAACCAGACCTATGATCCAAGCACAGGCCTGACAAGGGAGGAAAGGGGGGGGGATGAGCGAGCGCCCCTCCTCGCTGCCACATGCCCTCAGCACTGGGAGGGTGCTTTTCCAGGGTCACCCCTGGAAAAGCACCTTGTCCCCATGCCGATGGGGACAAGGGCCTCTTCCCCAAAAGCCCTGGGCCGTTGGTTGTGGGGGTTTGGGCAGGGGTGCTTATTCACATCAGGGTACCCCTTTAATTAAGGGGCACCCAGATGCGCCCTCCCTTGTGAAAGAATAAGGGGCATTTGTACCCCTACCCATTCACTAAAGTGTTAAAATAAAAAGTCTATACTTTTATTAAAAAATCCTGTAATTTGAAATAAAAACACAACAAAGGCTTTTGACAAATCCTTTATTGTTAAAAAAAAAAAATGATCCACCGACATAATCCTAGGGTCAATCACGATGTGCAGCGTTGTATAACCATGACTCGATGAGTTAAAAAATTAAAATAAGAAAAAATAAATAGAAAAAATAATAAGGACAAAACCCGCCGCCCGTCGGCCCATTCGCTCGCCATGAACTCCAGCCGCAGAATGGCATTCTGACAGATGCCGGCAAAATATAAACAATGGGCGGAGCTAGCGGTGACAGCTAGCTAGCTCCGCCCAAATGTTTACATTTGTTCGCCCCTGACAGGACTTTGCTCTCACAGTGCATTGTGATGGGTTAAAGTCTTGCACCTGACCTGTGGTCAGGTGCATTGCTTTACCCAATCAGGGCTTCACAAGGCACTGTGCGGTGCGAACTGTTGCTCGACTTGAACATCGAGCCCATCCCTAATAAGAATGCAAACATTAGAACTAAACAGAACATCGAGACAGGGTTTCTTAAAAATGTCATTCTCTTATATACAGTATATGTACAGTTTTTACTATTGGTAGAAATAGATCTAAAGTAGAAAAAATAGGAAGGAACAAGTCCAGTTGAATGTGCCTAACTACTACTAGCTATACCATGACCTGGATAAATGAGAACCTTCACAGACATGTTCATAAATGTGTTGATCTAGGCTGAATGATATATGGCTTGTGCTGACACTGGTATGCATCACTGCCCAATTATTAAAATATCCTTCTTAAAGCAGGAGTATCCAGCACTCCCAGCAATACAGGTCTAGGAAAAGATTTTTTCGGAAGGTGTGAATAGAATGTGGCTCCATCACTCACCAGTTGGGCTTCTCCTTCCAGATCCAGCCTTTCTTTCAGATTTCTGTTCTCCTTCTTAAGGGCTAGCAGCTCTTCTTCACACTGGCCTTGATTAGTCCAACTCTGAGTCACTTGCAGTTCCATTTTAACTCTATGAAGGTCTTCTTTAACAGCATATAACTGTAAAGACCACAAGGAAAAATAACAGTTTCATAATTCCCAGCAAACTCTGAGATTAAAAAAACACCTATTAGCACCAATCTTTTATGCAAAACATATGCCCTTTTCATAATTCATACATATCCGTGTCCTATCTGTTAATTCAACTTCAGATGTTTTGGATCTACAACTCCCCATGAGGTGCCAAGGTTGCTTACCCCTGCTATACTTCACCAGGAAAAAAAAATAAAAAAAATATATATATATATATATAT